ATGTCACGTCTAGATTTGCAGCAGGATGAGACCTCACTGTGACATCACATCCACCCCTGGCCCCACCCCCAAAGCTCCCAGGGATGCCTTGAGTCCCTCTAACAGAAGGTACATGAGATAGGAATTATTATTATTATTATTATTGGTATTTTTAATGTGTGTGTATGTGTGCACCTGGAAGTCATGGTGACCTCTGGTGACTGACCCTACGGGAGGCCTGGAAGGTATTCAGAGAGGTGGCTGAATAAAGCCTGCCCCCGCCTACCGCCTCCTGTATCTCAAGAAGATCTCCCATCCAAGTACTTGCCAGAGTTGACCCTCCCTTAGCTTCTGAGATCTGACTTGCCTGGGCTATCCAGGTGAGGGCGTGAGATAGGAATACGTTAGTTAACACGTGGAATTCACTCCTGAAGGAAGTAGTGGCGGCTACAAGCCTAGACAGCTTAAAGAGGATTGAATAAACATCTGGAGCAGAGGTCCACAAGTGGCTATTAGCTACAAGGTATAGTGAAGGGCAGTGCTTCCCTGTCTTCTTGGTGCTTGTGGGGAACAGCGGGAGTCGTTTAGAAGAAGAAGAAGAGATTGGATTCATACCCTGCCCTTCACTTGGAGTCTCAGAGCGGCTTACAAACTCCTTTCCCTTCCCTCCCCACAACAGACACCCTGTGAGGTTGGTGGGGCTGAGAGAACTCTGACACAAACTGCTTTTTTTCAAGGACAGCTGTGACAGAGCTTGTGACTGACCCAAGGTCACATCAGCAGGTGCAAGTGGAGGAGTGGGGAATCAAACCCGGTTCTCCCAGATTAGAGTCCATGCACTTAACCACTACACCAAACTGGCTCGTTTAGGAGTTCTGGCCCCACTGGTGGACCTCTTGATGGCACCTGGGTGTGGGCCACTGTGTGACACAGAGTCTTGGATCGGACGGACCATCGGCCTGATCCACCTATATTCTCTTGTGTTCCTATGAGAATGGAATTGCCCTCCATGAATCTGTATAATTCCCTCTTCAAGTGTGTCTCAGCAGTCCACTCTGTGTGGTGTGCAGAAATAGTTTTTTTCTCCTGTCCTGAACCTTCTATCCAACAACTTTAAAATGTGCCAAAACCTGGGCACAAGGCACCCTTACCACGTGAGAGGGCATCTTGGGAACACTCCTGGGCCTGCGCCTTCTGCTCTTCCCCCAAAGGAGATCCTTCCTCCTCAGAGAACTTCACTCCCATCTTCACAGATGGCCCCCACATCTGAAACTGCAGGAAGGGATACAGGTAAGAGGAGGAATGCGAAAGACTGAGGAGACGGAGCTTGCCCCTGTCCATCCTCACCCCTGCATCGATCCACACAGCTGCTTCAACCACAGCGGCAAGAATCAAGGTTGCATTTTTCTATCAACACGGGTGAAGTGCCTGGATTGACGCATATCGGGAAGGGAGGCTTTAAGCTGAGGTCGAAGGTCACAGCTTGAATGGACGGCATGAAGCTCCCTCACCTGCTCTGCCTGCCGCTTGTCCTCTGCCCGACTCAGGAGGAAGCCCTCGGCCAGGGACACCACCTGGGAACTGGTCTCCGGCCCGCATCCTCTGACCCAGCGCTGCATTTCCTCGGGTAGAATGGCCAGGAACTGCTCCAGGATCTGCTTCTTGAAGTGCCTCTCCTGCTCCAGCCGGTCATTGCAGAGTCCATGGAGCTGGCTGCAAACCTCTCGGGGCCCAGCAGCCTCCTGGTAGCAGAATTGCCGGAAACGCTGGCGATGCTCCTCTGGGATCCCCGTCTCCTGAGGCAGGACCTCTGGCACCGCTCTCTCCCAGAGCTCAACACCACTCCCCACCTGGATGGGAGGGGGGTCTTTCCTTGCTGCCTTGCCAATTCCTGGTCCTTCTGGGTCCTGCTCCTCCATCTCCTTCCCCTTCTCTTGGGCCGCCTCCAACTGCAAAAAGATGCCTTTATTTTCCTGGTATGAAGAGGGAGAGGGGAATATATCAAAAAGGCAGAAAGGAACCTAAAGCAGATGGAGCAACATCACCAACCCAGGATTGCCCTACAGAATCAGAACGAGCGTCTTTCTCATGGTGTTCATGTCCTTGTGCTAAATGAACTATTGTAGACTGGTATGAAGTATTCTAGACATCTGCCAAGAAGGCCAACCGTAGTATCCAGGCCCTGATGGCACACACCCATGAGTTCTTAAGGGTGTGAGATAGTCGATCTACTAACCTGTAGATGTAACCATTCACGAATTTCAGCCACTGTACCAGAAGTCTGGAGAGCAGAAATTGTTACAACAGTTTTTAAAAAGGGATCCAGAGAGGAACCAGGAAATTACAGGACAGTCAGCCTCACATCCATCCCAGGCATATTAGTAGAATCTGTAATCAAAAACAGAATCAAATGTTAGGCACATTGAAGGACAAAGCCTTTTGAGAGAAAACCAGCACGGCTTCTGCACAGGGGTGTCCTGCCACAACAGAGGGTGGACAAAGACAAATTTTCTCCCTCTCCCAAAATACTAGAACTGGACAGTATCCAATGAAAGTCATGGGCAGTAGATTAAGAACAGAAAAAAGGAAATACTTCTGAACACAGAGTGTTTAAAATGTAGAGTTCGCTGCCAGAGGATGCAGTCATGGCCACAGGAATAAACAGCTTTCAAAGGGGACTAGATAGATTCATGGAGGGTAAGTCTAGCTACCAGCCCTGGTGTCTATGGGGAACCTTCGCATTCAGAGGCACTAAGCCTCTGAATCCCTGTGCCAGGAGGCAACATCAGGGGACGGCCTCTCTGACCCGTTGTTGGCCCTCCAGAGAAAATGGTTTGGTTACTGTGGGAGACAGGAGGCTGGACTAGATGGACTATTGGTTTGACCCAGCAGGGCTCTTCTTGTGTTCCTACTAGAGGGGTCCTCTGGGTGGGGCCACGATCCTCATAGTGATGTGGTTTCCAGGTGCCCTTTGTTCCTCCTGGCCTTGTGGATGTGGGCAGGCTGATATAAGGGGGGGATGTCACGGCTCAGGTGGGGTGTCACCTGACGCTGCCACCACTCTGGATTTAGGATCCCTTGAGAAGGCCCAGAGTACCATCCCAAGACCTTCAGATCTTCCCTGTTTGGCCGAATAATAAGCGTGAGGACCAGGCAGAGTAAACAACACGAAAAAGGTTTATTTTATAGGTCAAACAAACAAGGTGCAGGAATAGTAACAGTAAGTGGGTGAAAAGAAAAGAAATCAAACGCGTCTAAATATACTGTCCCCAGCTCACTATCTTAAGTGGCCTTAGACTACTTACCCTTCCCTCAGGAAGATGGTTTCTTCCCCACAGCAGCCTCTTTCTTCTGGCCCTGTTTCCTGGGAAGAAGAACAGCTTTTCCTCTTGTACCAGTTCTTATATTCCCTGGCCCCCTTCTTCCCTATTGGTGAAAATTGGCATCAAAACGTCCCAAGGCCTTCTGGGGTTTGTAGGGCCAGCCTCCCCTACTGCTAGCCAGGCTCCCTGGGCCTACTAGGCCTCCGGTGGCACAGCCCAGATCATGACAGGGGGGCATGGCTCTCTGCCTGTCACGGGGGGAGGTGCCTGGTGCTGTGGACTCATGAGCATTGGTGGTGTTTCGATCAACACTCGTGGCGTTGCTAGGCTCTCTGCGCCTCAACAACCGATTTTATAAAATAAAAAATCCCCACTCTTCTGCTGGGGGGCCTTGAATACTCACTAGCAGCCCCGGCCCCAAACTGGCACTTTGTCAGGGTCTTAGGATGGGGCTGCGGTTGATTCCCACTCAGGTAGGAGTCCCCCCCCCAATTACACACACGCGACGACCTTTTTCACTTATAGACCAAATTAAGTGTAGCGTATTCAAAGCTGCCTTGAATGCATGATATGTTGTGAAACATCTAATTGAAGTGTAATGTAAAGCTTCGTCCTGGGCTAGGATCCAAATCCATCCAATGGTGTTACTAGCCCAGGAAGCACCTAACCAATCACCTTCTAGCAAGCTCCCTGAGCGGGAACAAATGTGATTGGACCTTATCGCGGCAACCTCATAGGTTGATATGTGTACAGTGGGTGTGGCTACATTAGCCGGGAATGTTTAAAAGCAGGACAGCTGCAACGTACAGGCTGTTTTGGCTATCAGATGTTGATCCCTGCTGGAGTTGTGTTCGAGTTGGAAGAATAAAGCTGTGTTCTTGCTGAATCACTCTCTGATAAGTGAGGGACTTAACACTGAGGCTCTTTGCCTCCCCCCACAGAACTGAAATCACAAGCAAGAGAACTCCAGTTTCATAAATTGATTCTTCCTTGTACTTAGAGACCCTGATTATCCCTCCCACCCCTCCACCCACCCCCAGTGACACAGCGGAGCAAAACAGATGCCTTTATACGGTTGCCAGCCTCCAGGTGGGGCCTGGAGATCCCCCAGGAGGATAATAACTGATGGTGGGAGTACAGAGATC